ATACCCAAAAGTTGCAAAAAAAAAAAAGAAAATATGTCAAATCTATCAAGGAAGGATGTAAAAAAGACGATAATATGTGATTACGAGTCGCAAATGACGAACCGTATTGGTTATATAACCCAAAAGTGTGTGTGAATTATAGCAAATTGTACTAAATATATCCAAATGGGATGTAAAAATATATATGTTGAGTGATGTGGTGTAAGAATGCAAAAATTTATTTAAAAATAAATTAAATTAGTTATTTTTAAATGTAAAATAAGGAATAAAACCCTGTAATACCACAACACCGCGTGTATACCAAGTAAAATATTCAAATAAATGTATTGTGTGTTGTACAAAATAGTGATTTATAACAAACAATTAAGATAGAAGTAGTTTTCCACCGAATTGAAACAAAATCAAATGTAAATCTCATGTGAAATTGTAAAAAAATGAAATAGTGGTAAAAGGAAAAGCACTAACCTTTGATATTTTGTATTTCCAAAGCAGCAAGCATCCGGCTCGAAGGACCAGAATGTTGGTAACTGTTCACGGACTGTTGGAAAACCGGGAATCTTGAGTTCTTTCAGTTACTTGTTTTTAAATATTATTTGGACTTCCTGTGGTTTTAGTAAAGAACAAAATACCGTACATGAAACTATTTAATTACTTCTATGTGACTGTTATATAAATTGTTTTTATAATATAAAAGAAAGAAAAACTTAATTGTTTGTAATAACACAACTAAAATATTACAAATATAAATTAACACTACGTTGTTACATCTATGACTGGAAACCGAATAATGAATGAGGGTTGTTACAGGTAGGCTCCCAAAAGGTGAGTACTTCTAAAAATAAATTCTAACGGTAATTTCTAATGTCCCTTGGCAATAAGTCGTTGCCAAACTAACTAAGCTATGCCGTTTCAAAGACGACAGGACCGTCGTCAGATCTTTTAAAGTCTTAACAATAACAAATTCCGTTTATTACTAGTTTTTTTTTAGAAATAGTCATGCCACATGACATCTGTTGAGATTTTGTATTATTTTCTCCAATAGTGTCAAAAGAGCATCCAGGAGATGAACAATCAAGATTTTTTATTTCTATATGATTTGTCGACTTCTGTAAACTGCTATTTACACTTCCATCTTCTTTATTATTTTTCTGCTCATTTTCAGTTATATTCTCTGTGTTACTTTTTGATACAGCTGTAGCTGGCTTTACTAATATGTTTTGTTGGATAAGTACATACTGATTTTTTTTGCTTCAAAAGAACATCCAGGAGATAAACAATCAAGATTTTTTATTTCTATATGATTTGTCGACTTCTGTAAACTGCTATTTACACTTCCATCTTCTTCATTATTTTTCTGCTCATTTTCAGTTATATTCTCTGTGTTACTTTTTGATACAGCTGTAGCTGGCTTTACTAATATGTTTTGTTGAATACATACTGATTTTTTTTTTGCTTCAACATTGACTTTAGTTTTTTTGTTTCTTTCTGCTAGTGTAACTTTTCTTCCTTAATTATATTAGCCTTTTTCCTGTCTTCCTTTGCTTTTCTTCTATTTTATTTTTCTTCTTCCTGCAGCCATTTTTTCTGTTCTTTATTCTCTGCAATAACTTTCCATTTTTCTGATGTTATGACATATGGCAGTTTTTCTATTTGTCTTTTATTTTTCCTTAAAGGGGACGATGGCCAGTGCAGAATTTCACTAATAGGCATTACGTTCTCTATAATCACATTTTTTGGATTAGGCATATCTTTGACTAATAACTGATCAAATGTTGATTCTGTTTGCGCTGTAGAAATATTATTATCAAACAATTCCATGGGTTTCTCAGGATTTGTTGAAATATCAGGCATGACCTCATTAAAGGTACCTAGTGCATCTCTCAATTCGGGATCAAAGCTAAAATCCAGGAAGATTTCACTAGTTTCAGTATTTGCATTAAGTAATCTTCTATCAGACAGTGTGTCCACATCTGATTGAAGTGGCATATCTACATTATTTATACCTGACGGACATGGTATATCTAAATCCGGTATAAAATCTATAGGCATACTTTCTATATCATATGAAGTAAGTGTGGTATTATTGTTGCAAGTAAAGAAATTCCATATTTTCTTTAAACATAGATTTTCCCTACTACTATTGATTCCACCATTGCCAACTTCAAAATTGTGCAACAGATCTGGACCTAGCAATCTTTTAAATGTATCAAGTGTTAACGCCGGTTCATCTGATGCATTAGTAGTGTTTATTTCATCACCGTCATTTTGACTTGTCTCCACTCCATTTCCTTCATTTTTGTGTCCTATACACTTGGAATAGTCTATTGCATTACAATCCCAAGGAAATAGGCCAGTAGCTCTAAACCCATTAATTATGGTACTATTTTTAACATAGTCGTTTACAACCTTGGAAAGTAAAGGATCAAAGTTTTCTTTCGTAAACTGGAGCAATGGATGTTCTCTTCTCCACTGAAGTATGCCCTTTTGCCAGCCTGCCTTTAATGGCTTAAAGGCAGCGACATCAACAGGTTGTAACAGTCTTGTAGCATTTGGGTACAAAGCTATCAGCACTATACCCAGCTTGTTGCATAACTGATTAACTTGGAGAGTCAGATGTGTTTTATGCCCATCGACAAATAGAATAACTGGCTTTTCAACCTTATTTTTTACAAGGAATGGGTTAAATACGTTTGCTATGTATTCGTAGAATAAAGCAGATTTCATCCAGCCATTGTCTGAATAGCCTACTCCCCAATCTTTTGGAACTGTTTCCAATATTTCTTTTGGAGGTTTTCTCTTATATGGAAATATGATCATTGGTGGAGTCACACCACCATTGGCACAAAAGGTGAACATTACTGTTAACGCAGCTTTAGCAGTTGCTTGATCCACCTCGTACATGTTTTTTGTACCTTTGCATGCAATTACTTTTTTATTTTTTGGGCATAATAAAAAATTTGTTTCATCTCCATTATATATTTTATTGCCATCTTGTAGTATACTCTTAACACCTTCATTTTCAAGTTCTGTTTCGATTGTTTTGAACCAGTTTTTAATATTATTTTCGCTAATACAGGCACTAGCTTGCGTAACTGCTTCGGTAGTCCTCAAGCACAATTCTGGATTCCTTTTCATGAATGCACGATACCAACCTTTGCCAGTTAAGCCATCAGAAAATGGGGTGACTCTATTGGCGTTCTTTATAATATTTTGTACGCTGTGTTGGACATCTTCAATCCGCCTAGGGAAACCTTTCTTTTGGCACGTTACTATCCACCTGTTAATTTAGAAAAAGTAAATATCGTACGTTATTATAAAATTTACGACTTACTTAACCAAAATTGATTCTTCCTCTTTTGTAAGATAACTAGCTGTACCAAAACCTGGTTTCTTGAATTTATTTCCCATTCGAAACTGAATCGTTGATCTGGGCACACCATACAATTTTGAGGCTTTTAATTTTGACATGTCATCCTTAACTGCTTCTACTGCTTTATGAATCTTTTCTTCTCTTTCTCTATTCATTTTAAACACCTAAACTAAGAGAAATTAGAGTAAATATAATGCCTTCAAATATTTAAGGGGCATATTTGGTTATTTTAGGAAAGTAACTACCTACTTACACGTCTATATACCTACTACCTTTTTTGCAAAGATATTTTTGAAATTATTAAATCCTAACTTTATTATAAACTTAGCTCCTACAAAAAGGAGGTGTCAAAGGTGGGTGCCAAGGATTGAAATACACAATAATTTTTAAAATACGGTGGTTGGCACTACATGCCAACCAATAAATTTGTCATTTTTTTGTAGACAGTCGTTGGCACTAAATAAATTTGAGGTTAAAGTTTATACAAAGCCTCATCCTTTAGTGTAATCAAGATATAGACATTGTACACTATACATACACTAGATTTTTTATGACACAACTTACCTTTGGAACAATATATACATAAATTATTCACACACTGTTTAGCACTATAAACTGTCTCCAGACTCTTCCAGATACAGCGTAACAAAACCACTCATGAGATGGATTTACTACCAACGTAAGAGAACAAAAATACTAAATACACCAAACTACCAACACTAAACTGTAAAACTATAGAAACCTGATGTCCACAGAATAAAATATAAACAGTTGCGTTGAATCAGAAATTTGCATGTCAACTACTATAGACCTGCCAACCACTGTCACGTTTACCCTAGGTACTTAAAAAATTAAATTAAAATGAATGGATTGTTCAAACTTAATGGCTTCCACTGGAAACTACGTAGATCAGATGCTACAGACTAGGTCTGATCTGGTCCAATGATATTAGTATGCACTTTATACTAGCCAGCGATTCCCAACCAGGGGGCGATTTGAGATGTTCAGGTGGCGATAGAGCGAAGGGGGCGATATGGGGGGCGAGAAGGGGGGCGTTTAGCATCCGGAAAACTAGAAACGGGTAATTGAGAAAAATAAGAAAAAAGAAAAAAAATACAATATTTTCGATCGGATATCCATAGGATAATAAAAAGTAATTATATGTATACCAATGCAGGTAATAATAACACAAGCATCTCGTCTAGTCACAGAGAGCTATGAATCATAATACAATTTAATTCTATACATTATCGTTATAATTATTATACATTATAACGAATTCTAAGAAAAGTGCGATAATAATGATGAAAAGTAAGTACCGCTCCTGCCGATCTGACTCGAACAAAAAGCGAATGGCCAAGGTTGTCGTCGCTTCAAATGCGGAGTCTTTCTTTCCCGAGTTTTGTATTGTGGTATATAAAGTTGTTTTGTTTCAACTCACAGTTATTGTGTTCAGTGAGTTGTTATTTTAATAAAGATACTGTGATATATTTGTGAAACTATTTAAGTCTGTCTTTCAATTCGGACATAACGTTCCTACAAGGTATCATTGTTAATAGCAAAAAGTGCCAAGCCGGACACAATTGGAGAAGAACTCATCCTCCCAGCTATCAAAAAGATAGTTAATACTATGTTGGGACCCAGTCAGACCAGCCAAGTAACAGATGCAGTTCCTCTCAGCAATAATACTGTCTCCAAAAGGATTGATGAAATGGGAGCGAATGTCGAAGATGTTCTCTGCAACAAATTGAAAAGCAAAGAGTTTACTATGCAACTTGACGTGACTACCCTGAGTGACTGCACAGCTTTGCTGCTGTCATATGTTCGATTAATTGACGACAATGGAGAAATAGCCGAGGAAATGCTGTTTGCTAGAAGTTTGATTACTGATACAAAATGATCTTTCATATTTGAGGTTGTTAAGAGATTTTTTAAGAAAAAAGAGATTCCCTTATCAAATATGATCGCCCATGCTTCTGACAGGATGCCATCAGGGATTTATTGCACATCTGAAACAAGCAGTACCTGAAATTTTGAGTGTTCACTGCGTCATTCACAGAGAGCATTTGGCTGCCAAGAATTTGAGTGGGAGGTTGCACGATTATTTTCGACTTGTCATAGATACAGTAAATAAAATTAAAGCAAAACCAAAGAATAATCAAATATTTCGTACACTTTGCGAAGAAAATGATGAGATATTTAATACATTGCTACTACTTACGGAAGTCCGCTGGCTTTTTAAAGGCAATTGCTTACGGCGGTTCTTCAGTCTCATGGATACTGTTATTGAATTTCTTAATACTACTGACCCCACACTGAGTACATAACTACAAGAGAAGCGAATTAACATCGCTTACTTATCAGATATTTTTCAAAAATTAAATGAAATGAAAATGCAACTACAGGGGAAGAACATAAATATGGCCAAAATGAAGGGAATAGTCGGAGCATTTATTGACAAACTATCTATTTTTAAAGAAAATATGCAGAGAAGAAATCTGACCAAATTCTCCAACTTAAAATCTTCTTGTGGCGATTCTGAGGATCTTTAAACATATTGCCCCCACCTTTAAACACTGAAAAAAGATCTGCAGTCCCGATTCCAAGGTTTGACTAGTCTGGAAGTGCCAACTTGGTTTATCAAGCGTGGAAGTTTCAACGGTATGTCCTTCTCTTCAAGAAAACTTGATTGATTTGAAACATTATGTTGAAATTGAAAGTTTGTTTCGGGAGTGTTAGTATAAATGATTTTGGCCAAGGATAAAAGAAGTGTATCTAATCTTGTGGAATGCAATCAAATTATTATTATTAGCATTCCCCACAACATACCTAATGGAGAAAGGTTTTAGTTCTGTGCGTATATTGAAAAACAGACAAAGAAATAGGCTCGATATAATAGATAGAGGGAATTTGAGGTTGTTATTGAGCCAGACATAAAGAAATTATGTAAGGGACACCAGGCCCAAGGAAGCCATTAACAATTCTTTTACAGACACATAACCATTTGTCATTTTACAATATGTAAAAATAAATAAATATGGATACTTACCTTTTGTATAGATTCATTATGGGATATTTGTATAGATTAATTATGTTTTAATTTAATTGTGACTGGGGGGGGGGCGATTGTAGTATTCATAACTGGTGAAACCTTTCTAAGAGAGGGCGATTATGGGAAAAAGGTTGGGAACCACTATACTAGACAAATGACGTGTTTGAAATATATATAGCGAAAAATTTACCATAAGCAAATAAACATAGGGCTATACCTAGTTCATACGTAGGGCCTACGTAGTTCATACGAAGTGTAAAACTTCAATTTCAAATCTTAACAGTAAACATTTGTTCAAGGTACTTAACACTCACGCAAGTTCCACGTTTAGATTCGTTACGGATTATTAAGTGGACTGAAACAGATAAAGAAAATCTTCAGTAAAAAGTACAAACATATCTCACAAGACACAAAAACTTGGTCCTCGTATTCCAATAACAAGAACAACATTACCGAGATATTTAAGAAAAAAATGGACTTATAAATATAAGTCAGATTAGAAAAATTGTTTGCTAATACAAGAATTTATTTTTTTCCTCAGGCACTATAACGTCATTTTTGCTCTATGTTTCTGCGTATCATAAATTTTAACTTATTTATATACTCTTGATTATTAACATCACTAAATTATTTTCTTGTTTTCGTTAGTATTACAGGGGTATTACTATTATAAGTAGTGTATGTGTAGTATATGTAGTATATAGTGTATGTTCTGATTTTTCTGACAATGCTTTTCATGATAAAACTAAAAAGCACCATGGATAAATGTTCTCCTTCTCTGAGACTTCTATTTACTTCAAATATATCCGTAGAGTAGCTTCTCTTTACTGATATCGTGCATTATTTAGTGTTATTCTCATTAATTTAACTAGCTCAGTGTTTCGTACATTTTATTTCTCTTAATATTATCATCTGGCTTAAAATTTATGCATATTGCTTAAAGGATTGTCTTATGCTTAAAGCAGGTCGTGTGAATCACTGGATATTCGGCTTAATAGATACAAGCCTAGCTTGTTTGTTGAAAATTTTTTAGTCTCTTTCTTAACACAATAGATAATATCTTACAACAGGCATCCAACAAAACGATACTTTTTTAATAATCACATACAATTAGTTCCGCTTTTTGTATATAGATAATAATAAAGCTTTGTTCCATTTCTTGGACATATTTTTCTCTATTCATATTCTCTTGATAAGGTTACACCATTCTCAACATCTTTTTTACTTTTAATATTGGTATTTTTATATTACGTAATTATTAAGAACTTCTTATAAATATACAAGAAGTTCGGAAAATACTTACAAACCTGAAGAACAGAATAGCAGCAGGTAAAGAATTGAAGAAAATACGCCGAGAGATCGAACAAAGAGTAAAGACATTAAAAGAAAATGTTACGTACAGTGTATAAATGAATAGACACAAAATAGAAAAAAAAAGAATGGAATAACCACATAAGTAGAATGGAGGAGACTCGTGTCGCCAAAATAGCATTGCATAGCTTTGTGCCCTCCAATATAAAATTGGCAGGACCCTGATCTTCCTGGCCTTTCGACATACGACCTTTAGCGGACCCACTGCCCCTACGAGTCCTACACCTACTAAGGTGGCACGATACCGAAGTATCGTGGGGCTCCACCTGAAGGCGACGCAGGTGAAGAAATTCCACCTCGTAGACATGTCACGGCCGAGAAATCGCTTCTCTACCAATCTTAAATAATTCCAGGTGGGTACGTGCCGGATCAACACACCACCCCCGGTGGTGTAAGGCCGTGGGAGGTATTTACGGTCCCAGCTCGTACAACCTCACCTGGCTCTTGTGGAAATGAGAGTAGAGTGGTCCCACGAGATGCTCGTCTCGGATACTAGGAGTGTGGACCGGCGACCGAGATGGCTATGCATCTGGAGTGCGTTTCCACAAACCCAACACTTCGAACGACGGCTCTCCACCTCTCATTTCTCGCCCATTAGTCGCCTTTTACGAGAGGCACGGTTTTCTGGCCTCGACCGTATTCTTATCTCCGCGAGCCGAACGGAGAGTCAAAATAGCAAGAGATAAGTCACCAATCGGCAGAAGGCGTATCGGACGGCCGTGCAAAAGATGGAGTGACAACCTTCCATAAATGTATTATTCCGCCAATGAAAAATCACAATTGTTTATAAAGAGGAACAAGAATAAAAAGATTATTGGTAGTTCTATTATTATGTCATATTCTTCTATAAGGAAATTTTCATTATCTTTTCTATTATGTCCTTTGTCCATTTAAGAGTTCCCTAAAATATTTTTCCTTTATACCATTACTATTTTTTTACTCGTTTGTATTCAGTCTTTTTTTTTCATGTATGTAAATTTTTCTTCTTTGTATTGTTTGTTCAGAATACCATTAATAATTATTGTTATTGTAAATTAAGTTTCCCTTTTCTTTGGCTATTTTGAGAAATTTCCCATCAAGACATTTCTTCTATCTTTTATTTTGGTGACCTCATGCTCCTTAAGTTTCTTACACGTGCAACTTTTATGCAATTTCTTTTCAAGAATACGTAATTAATCTGGAAACTGCAACCTTTATATACGAGTATATATTTTCGTTCTAGATGAGCACTCCTTACCAGCATACCTTTTTCCATCGCAAAACTGACTAATGGCTGGGCATTATCATTTCTTATTTTATGCGGACAGATTTAAAGGACATTTATTTTCCTTTTAAGCAACAATAAAGCCTGTTTTTAGCAGCCTGTCCTTCCCCCGCACTTAAATAGAGCAAATCCTTTGATTACCGGTATTTAATTTTCTGTTTGTTTTGTTTCTTGTAGGTACAATTGATCTATTTCGCATTTCTTTAACTTATGAATTAGTTCTCTTTTCTACGAAATGTTTCTTTTTAAACACTTCCAGCACCTTTTTATCTTTATTTTTATTACTTGTCTTGTATATATTTTCCAGCTCTTTATAAACAATATTAATTGCTTTGTTTATAACTTGGTTCGTTTTCTTATTTTAATCAGTCTTTTATTGTTTTTTTCTAATGTTCCATTTCTATTGTGACCCTTTAATATTTCTACTTTTACTGGTGTTATGCTAAAGCCAACTTTTACTTGATTTTCATTTTTCCTTTCCTCGACCGCTCTTTGTCTTATGCTATGCAATATCCTTTCTTTTTAGATTAAATTATTCTGGTTTATATAAAATTTAAGTTCCCCAATTTTGTTAGTTTGCGTTTATTCTGTATTACTATAATTTTTTTATCAACGAAAACTTATACCGACAGACACTGTGTAAACTCTGCTACTTTACGTACCGCGTTAATTTTTATTTGAAGCTTTAGTTCTATAGCAGATGGGTAGCTATCAATAGCAGCTTTTTTTTTATTTCCTTTTTTAGTTCCTAAGGATCCTTTATGCCCATCCTTAACAACGATATTTTTTTTCACTTTTTCCCATTTTAGCCAATAATGGTTTTCTGTATTTCTCGTAATTTTATCCGCATATATCCATTTTCTTTAGCAACTCTCGCATAGCTCATCTTTTGTTTTTCATTATATTCTTTAAGTGTTGTGATGTCTTCTCTAAACGTTTTAGCTCTTTCCTCAGTTCTAGTGTTTCGTGTCTCATATATTTTATTTCATTTGTTATGATAGTCCTTATAATACATAAGGTGCAACAATTTATTTTATTTTGTATCCTTATATTTTTTTGTGCTGGTGATCTTATCGTTTCAGTCGTGTCCCATTTTCGTCATCACTGTTTCGCGTTTTGTGCCATTCATTGAAATAGATCTGAGCCAACTTCTTACAGGATTAATTTATATCAGTGATCATATAGTATCAGTAAATACTTCGAATTACTCAGT